TGGAATGACTTTTTAATAGCTATGTTTGTGTCTGAGCCTTACCCATGCCTTTGACCTTTTCTTTAATCCCTTTCAGTGATTAATTCTGTTCGGTATCATTCCTTAGAAACTTCATATTACCCTTTATCACTTATGACCCTGTACTTGGGGGTTAAAGGAGTGATTCCTATATTCATGGTTAAACCCTGCTTACTCTCAACAACTGGAAGCTTCCGGCAGAGTTCTTGCGCTCCTAGAAATTCACAGGTCCAAAAAAGAAAAACATAATGGAAATGATAAATAATTCATTTGAAGTGCTTGGCACCTGTGGCTCAAGCAGCTAAGGCGCCAGCCACATACACCTGAGCTGGCAGGTTCAAATCCAACCCGGGCCTGCCAAACAACAATAACAGCAACAACCAAAAAATAGCTGGGTGTTGTGGCCAGCGCCTGTAGTCCCAGCTACTTGGGAGGCTGAGGCAGGAGAATTGCTTGAGCCCAGGAGTTGGAGGTTGCTGTGAGCTGTGATGCCATGGCATTCTACCCAGGGCAACAGCTTAAGGCTCTGTCTCAAAATAATAATAATAATAATTCATTTGAAGATTAACTAAGGGCTCAGCACCTGTAGCTTAAGTGGCTAGGGTGTTAGCCACATACACCTAAGCTGCCGGGCCTGCCAAACAACTGCAACCAAAAAATAGCTGGGCGTCGTGTTGGGCGCCTGTAATCCCAGCTATTTGGGAAGCTGAGGCAAGAGAATTGCTTAAGCCTAAGAGTTTGAGGTTGCTGTGAGCCATGATGCCACAGCACTCTACCCAAGGCAACGACAACTGGAGACTCTGTCTCCCAAAAAAAGGTTAACTCAGGAAATCAATGATTGTTTCCACTCTAGGCTACCTAGTATCTTAAAAAAACGTTTAATTAATACAATCCTTTATTTAAATTCTCCACATTTTATGGATTTTAATTTCTTTCTTTTTGTGTGTGTATGTGAGACAGAGTTCGCTTTTTCTCACCCTCGTCAGGGTGCCTTGGTATCATAGCTCATAGCAACTTCATACTCCTGGGCTCAAGCAATTCTCTTGTCTCAGCCTTCCAAGTAGCTGGGACTACTGGCATCCACCATGATACCCGGCTATTTTTTTGTTGCAGTTTTTGGCCAGGGCTGGGTTTGAACCCACCACCTCTGGCATATGGGGCTGGTGCCCTACTCCTTGAGCCATAGGCACTGCCCCTAAAACCTGGCTACTTGTAAAGATGGGGTCTCGCTTGCTCAGGCTGGTCTCCAACCTGTGAGCTAAGGTAATCCACCACCTCAGCCTACCACAGTGCCAGGATTACAGGCTTGAGCTACGGTACCCAAGTTCAAAATGAATTATAGTCATCAGTAACATTTTAATTACATTTGTATTTTTTTTTCTATTTTAGAGACAGAGTCTCACTTTATCTCCCTCAGTAGAATGCTGTGGTGTCATAGCTCACAGAAGCCTCCAACTCCTGGGCTTGGGTGATTCTCTTGCCTCAGGCTCCTGTGTAGCTGGGACTACAGGTACCTGCCACAAAGCCCAGCTATTTTTTGTGCCAGGCTTGAGCTCACCACCCTTGGTATATGGGGCCAGTGCCCTACCCACTGAGCCACAGATGCCACCCTTTTTTTTTTTTTTTTTTTTGAGACAGAGTCTCACTATGTTGCCCTTGATAGAGTGCTATGACATCTCCGCTCACAGCAACCTCAAACTCTTGGGCTCAAGCGATTCTCTTGCGTTATCCTTCCAAGTAGCTGGGACCATATGCACCTACCACAACACCAGAGTACTTTTTGTTGCAGTTGTTATTGTTGGTTAGCTGGCCTGGGCCGAGATCGAACCTGCCACCTTCGGTGTATGTAGTTGGCACCATAAACACTGCTACAGGTGCTGAGCCTACATTTGTAATTTTTAACTGTTTATGCTTTTTAAATATTGGTGTCTTTAATCCACTTCCTAAAAAACAGTGGCCCAGTAATACACTGGGAAAAATTGCCTGAGCTCACAGGTTCGAGACCAGCCTGAGCAAGAGCAAGACCCTGTCTCTAAAAAGAGCCAGGCATCATGTCAGGTACCTGTCCTAGCTACTCAGGAGGCTGAGACAAGGAATCGGCTATGCCCAGGACTTGGAGTTTGCTGTAAACTATGATGCCACAGCACTCTACTGAGGGCAACAAGGTGAGACTCTGTCTCTACCAAAAAAAAAAGAAAGAAAGAAAGAAAAGAAAAATTTGTAAAAAGGAGGCATTAACATGCTAGACTTTTTCTTTGGTTTCATTTTGTGTTTCATCACGCTTTTTGCCATTTCTTCATTCTTTCCAGGTATTACTTCAAGATTTCTTTTTTTTTTTCTTCTTTTATTTGAAGACAGAGTCTCATTTTGTTGCCCACGGTAGAGTACTATGGAGTCACAACTCACAGCAACCTCCAGCTCTTAGGATTAGGTGACTCTCTTGCCTCAGCCTCCTGAGTAGGTGGAACTACAGGCACTTGCCACAACACTTGGCTATTTTTGTTGCAGTTTGGCTGGGGCCAGGTTCCAAGGCTGCCACCCTACTCATTGTGCCACAGGGGCGACCCAACTTTAAAATTTCTTACCAGCCAACACTTGGAGATGTTTTATATATGTGTTGGTTTTGGGGGGTTTATGTGGGGTTTTTTGTTTTACATTTTTTCTTTAGTAATTGATAATATGAAATAATATGTCACCTATTTTTCTTTCTGATCTGACCCACAACTCCTGTTTCCCCAGGAATATAAAAACTCAAGCCCCCAACTCAATCTTTGATATGGGGTACTGGGGGTGGAAAAAGGAATGTGCTTTGTGCTTTCCAGACTTTTTCTTTCTTATTTTCTGATGAGATTTGTGTATAATTTAGATTGCTGCAGAGATAAAAATTTGTTATGTATTCTTGTTTTCTTATTCAGAGCCAAAAAGTATAAATATATGTTGTTCAACCTTGTCTCAGCTAGGGGTATCTACCCAGACTTAAAGTGTTTTTTAAATTATCTTTTTGTTGTTGTTGTTACACTTTGGCTGGGGCCGGGTTTGAACCCACCACCCTCAGTATATGGAACGGGTGCCCTACTCACTGAGCCACAAGCGCTGCCCTTAATTATCTTTTTTTTTTCTTTTTTTTTTTTTGAGACAGAGCCTCAAGTTGTCACCCTGGGTAGAAGAGAGTGCGGTGGCATCACAGCTCACAGCAACCTCCAACTCCTGGGCTCAAGTGAGTCTCCTGCCTCAGCCTCCCAAGTAGCTGGGACCACAGGTGCCCGCCACAAGGCCCAGCTATTTTTTGGTTGCAGCCATCATTGTTGTTTGACAGGTCTAGGCTGGATTTGAACCCGCCACCTTAGGTGTATGTGGCTGGCACCGTAGCCACTTGAGCCACAGGCGCCGAGCCAATTATCATTATTTTTTAATCATTTAGTTCCATTTGGTGCTAACATCTGTCTTTTGGAATACTTACATTTACAAAATTTTGACTGATAGACTTACTTAAAAACCATTTTGAGCCAGGCATGGTTGGTGGCTTATACCTGTAATCCTCGCAATTAGGGAGGATGAGGCAGGAGGATCTGGCTTGAAGCCGGGAGTTTGTGACTAGACTGACATATCCAGACCCTATCTCTATAAAAAAGTAGAAAATTTAGCCGGACGGAGTGACTCAAGTTGGTAGTCCCAGCTACTAGGGAGTCTAAGCCAAGGAGGATCATTTGAACTCAAGAGTTTAAGGTTGCTGTAATATGGTGACACCACTGCACTCTCTAGCCCAGAGAACAGAGTGACACAAGTTCTCACTCTGTCTCTCTCAGTAGAGTGCCATCTCTCACAGCAACCTCAAACTCTTGGGCTCAAGTGATGCCCTTGCTTTAGCTTCCTAAGTATCTGGGACTATAGGCACCCCCCACAACACCCAACTATTATTAGAGATGGGTGTCTTGCTCTGACTTAGGCTGGTCTCGAACTCCTGAGCTCAGGTATCCACCGCACCAGGCTAAAATTTTTTTTTTTGATTGTCACAGATTACTACTTTTGTTTGGTTTTTTTGGTTTCTTTTATGAGGCTACAAAGAAATAGATTACTATGTTTGCATTTGTTAGGTAAAATTCCTATCTCCCTCACTTTTTCCCTCTCCCTTCTGTGTTATTCCTCCCCTAACCTTGAATTGATTTGAGATTTTCTCTTATGTGGGCATGTATTGGATTTTTCTATTGGCTTCATATTAGTATTCAATGCATTGTTCTCCATTCCTGTGATACTTTACTAAGAAGAATATGTTTCAACTTCATCCAGGTTAATAAAAAAGATGTAAAGGCTCCATCTTTTTTAATGGCTGAATAGTACTCCATGTATATATACCACAATTTGTTAATCCATTCTTTGGTTGGTGGGCATTTAGATTGTTTCCACGTTTCAGCCTTGTAATTTGAGCTGCAACAAACAATCTAGTCCAAATGTCTTTATGATAAAATGCTTTTTTTTCTTCTGGATAGATGTCTAATAATGAGATTGCAGGATCACATGAGAGGTCTAATTTGAATTCTCTGAGTATTCTCTTTAATTCTTTCCAAAGAGTTTGTATTAGTTTGCAATCCCAAGACTACTTCTTTTGAAAAAATTGATATTCTCGGCTCGGCACCGAGATTGATATTATGGCTCAAGTGGCTAAGGTGCCAGCCACATACACCTAAGGTGGCGGGTTCGAATCCAGCCTGGGCCCCAGCAAAACAACAATGATGGCTGCAACTAAAAAATAGCTGGGCGTTGTGGCAGGCACCTGTGGTCCCAGCTACTTGGGAGGCTGAGACAGGAGACTCACTTGAGCCCAGGAGTTGGAGATTGCTGTGAACTATGATGCCATGGCACTCTACCCAGGGGGATAGTTTGAGGCTCTGTCTGAAAAAAAAAAAAAATTGATATTCTCACCTGAATTATCACTATCATGACAAAAAAGTAAAGTATATTTCTTTTTTTCATTCCATTTAAAGCAGTATTAACTTCACAGAAAAGTAGTGAATATCTTATAAGCCAGAATCCAGAAGGCCTTTCTGCTGACAAGTTGCAAATATCTCCAGATTGTTATACCAGTAAAAGTAAAGAACCAAGAATGGAAAGGTAAGAAATACAAATTGTGTTATCTAATATTTTTACTTATATTGAACTCTAGTTAATTTTTTTCACCATACTTCCTGCACTTTTTTGGGTTTTTTGGTTTTTTTGTGTTTTTTTTTTTGTTTTTTTTGAGACGGAGCCTCAAGCTATCCCCCTGGGTAGAGTGCCATGGCATCACACTCACAGCAACCTCCAACTCCTGGGCTCAAGCGAGTCTCCTGCCTCAGCCTCCCAAGTAGCTGGGACTACAGGCGCCCGCCACAACGCCTGGCCATTTTTTTTTTTGGTTGCAGCCATCATTGTTGTTTGGCGGGCCCGTGCTAGGGATTCGAACCCGCCACCCTAGGTGTATGTGGCTGGCGCCTTAGCCGCTTGAGCCACAGGCGCCAAGCCTCCTGCACTTTTTTGTACATAAACATTTATCACCTCTCATTGCTGTTGGATGCTTCTTTTGTTTAATTGTATATAGGCTTTTTGGACCTATGCATTTGCTATATCATGTAAAGTGCGCAATTAGATAGATCTGTCCCTTCTGAAGTTCAGAACAAAATATAATAGAATAAGGCCAGGCGGCTCGGCACCTATAGCTCAACGGGCTAAGGCGCCAGCCACGTACACCTAATCGAATCCCCAGCCCGGACCCACCAAACAACAACGGCTGCAACCAAATAAAAATAGCCGGGCGTTGTGGCAGGCGCCTGTGGTTCCAGCTACTTGGGAGGCAGAGGCAGGAGACTCACTTGAGCCCAGGAGCTGGAGGTTGCTGTGAGCTGTAATGCCACAGCACTCTGCCCAGGGTGACAGCTTGAGGCTCTGTCTCAAAAAAAAAAAAAAAAAAAAGAATAAGGCCAGGCATAGTGGCTCACCCCTGTAATCCTAGCACTCTGAAGGCTGAGGTAGGAGGATCCCTTAAGCTTAGGAGTTCAAGACCACCCTGAGCAAAGCAAGATCCCATCTCTACTAAAACTAGAACACTTGGCCAAGCCTGGTAGCATGCACCTATAGTCCCAGCTACTCAGGAAGATAAAGCAGGATGATCACTTGAACCTAGGAATTTGAGGTTGCTATGAGATAGCCTGAGGCTACAGCACTAACCTGGGTGACATCTCAAAAAACAGAACAAAATATAAAAGATCAAATAAACTCTGGTATATGTACACCATGAAATATTATGCAGCCCTAAAGAAAGATGGAGACTTTACCTCCTTCATGTTTACATGGATGGAGCTGGAAAATGTTCTTCTTAGCAAAGTATCTCAAGAATGGAAGAAAAAGTATCCAATGTACTCAGCCCTATTGTGAAACTAGTTTATAACTTTCATATGAAAGCTATGACCTAATTATAGTTTAAGAATATGGGGATAGGGAGGGGAAGGGGTGAATGGGTGGAGGGAGAGTGATCGGTAGGATCATCTTTATGGTTTATCTTATAAGGGTACAAGTGAATCTTTCTAAAAGTAGAATATAAATGTCTTAACCCATTAACTAAGAAAATGACATGAAGGTTATGTTAATCAGTTTGATGAAAATAGTTCAAATTGGCTTGGCGCCTGTGGCTCAAGTGGCTAAGGCACTAGCCACATACACCTAAGGTGGCGGGTTTGAATCCAGCCCGGGCCCGCCAAATAACAATGACAGCTGCAACCAAAAAATAGCCTGACATTGTAGCAGGCGCCTGTGGTCCCAGCTACTTGGGAGGCTGAGGCAGGAGACTTGCTTGAGCCCAGGAGTTGGAGGTTGCTGTGAGCTGTGATACAACGGCATTCTACCCAGGGGGACAGCTCGAGGCTCTGTCTCAAAAAAAAAAAAAAATAGTTCAAATTGTGTATGAAAACACCACCTGTACTCCATGATTGCATTAATGTACACAGCTATGATTTAATAAAAATATATATATATAAAAGATTGAGGCAGGGTGAATGATGGGATCACACCTATAGTGCATAATGCAAGGGTACATGTTAGATCTATTACATATAGAATATAAATGTCTTAACACCATAATTAGGTAAACAAGATTGGGTATATATTAACCAGTATGATGTATACATGATCTATGTGTTTATAATTAAATAAAGAAAAAAAGAAAGAACTAAAACCTGAAGAACCCTAGAGACTGATGTAGACTTCTAGAAGGCAACCTTTGCCCTAATTAAAATTTTCGTCTTTCTAGAAAAAAATGAACTGTTTACCCCAAGAAATGTTCAGAATACTTTTTTTCTTTCTTTTTTTTTTTTTAAAGAGACAAAGTCTCACCTTGTCACCCTCAGTAGAGTGCTGTGGCATCACAGCTCATAGCATCCTCCAAATCCTGGGCTTAGGCAATTCTCTTGCCTCAGCCTCCCAAGTAAGTGGGACTACAGGCATCTGCCACAATGCCCAGCTATTTTTTTGTTGTAGTTCAGCCTGGGCCAGGTTTGAACTCTCAGCATATGGGGCTGGCGCCCTACTCACTGAGCCACAGACACCACCCCAGAATATTTTTTTAAGGATGTATATTCACTATTGATATAAGTTTATTTTATTTATTTATTTAGAGACATAGTCTCTCACTTTGTTGCCCTCAGTAGAGTATGGTGGCATCATAGCTCACAGCAACCTCAAACTCTTAGGCTAAAGCAATTCTTTTTCCTCAGCCTCCCTTGTAACTTGGACTTAAGGTGCCTGCCACAATGCACGGCTATTTTTTTTTTTTTTTTTCAGTTTTTGGATGGGGCCTGGTTTGAACTCACCACCTCCAGTATATGGGACCGGCACCTACTCCTTTGAGCCACAGGTACTGCCCAACACTTTATTTTTTTTGTTTGTTTTTTTGAGAGTCTCAAGTTGTCACCCTGGGTAGAGTGCCAAGCAGTCATAGCTCATAGCCACCTCCCACTCTGGCTCAAGAGGTCCTCTTGCCTCAGTTTTTGTTGTTGTTTTTTCTATTTTTAGTAGAAACAGGGTCTCTATTTTACTCAAGCTGATCTCAAACTTGTGAACTCAAGCAGTCCACCTGCCTTAGCCTCCCAGAGTGTGAGGATTGCAGGCATGAGCTACCATGCCAGGCCTAGCACTTTATTTTTTAGAAATATTTTATCTACTTCTTTTGGTCTTTTCTATAAGATTATGAAGATTATGAAAATAAAAGGATAAGTTTTAGACTTTATTCATTCCTATTTCATAATTCAGGACAGAGAGATTCAGAGCTGTTAGGATCTCACACCTTACTACTTTAGGAAGGAAAAGGAATTCAAGTTTGGTGTTTTGGGGGGGGTTTGGGAGAGAGAGTCTCACTTTGTCACCCCTGGTAGAGTGCTATGGCGTCATAGCTCATACACAGCAACCTCAGATTCTTGGGCTCAGGTGATTCTCTTGCCTCAGCCTCCCATGTGGCTATAACTACAGGCACTCATCACAACCCGCAGCTATTTTTAGACATCGGGTCTCGCTCTAGCTCAGACTGGTCTCAAACTCATGAGAAATTCAAGTTTCTTTTTTATTTTTATTTTTTTGAAACAGAGTCTTACCATGTCTCCCTTGGTAGAGTGCTGTGGTGTCACAGCTCACAGCAACCTCAAACTCTTAGGCCTAAGCAACTCTCCTGCCTCAGCCTCCCAAGTAGCTCAGACTACAGGTGCCCATTACAACACCCGGCTATTTTTTGTTGTTGTTGTCGTTGTTTAGCTGGCCTGGGCTGGGTTTGAACCCACCACCCTCCATGTATGTGGCTGGCACCATCACCACTGCTACAGGTGCCGAGCCAAATTCAGGTAAGCCCTGTTTCATGGATTTATTTTTCACATATCTTTTCTGGGAATGGTGACAGATTATCAGTAATATAATCATACTATCTTTTCCAAGCCCCTGAAGCTGATTGAGAATATATTTTTGAAGCTAGGTTTTTTGTTTTTTGGTTTTTTTGAGACGAAGTCTGAAGCTATTGCCCTAGGTAGAGTGCTGTGGCGTCATAGCTCACATCAACCTCCAACTCTTGGGCTCAAGTGATCGTCTTGCATCAGTTTTTCTATTTTTTGATAGAGACAGGGTCTCACTTTTGCTCAGGCTAGTCTCAAACTCGTGAGCTCAAGCAGTCCACCCACTTTGGCTTCCCAGGGTGCTAGGATTACAGGCGTGAGTCATCTCACCCAGCTCTTGAGGCTAGTATATTGTGACTATGACAGAAAATTAAAATTTCTGGCTTCCAGGCCTGTAATCCTAGTACTCTAGGAGGCCAAGATGGATGGATCACCTGAGCTCAGGAGTTTGAGACTACCCTGAGCAAAAGCAAGATTCTGTCTCTAAAAATTAAATATCTGAGCTCGGCACCCATAACACAGTGGTTACCGTGCCAGCCACATACACCCAACTTGGGCCAGCTAAAACAACAATGACAACTGCAACAACAAAAATAGCTGGGCGTGTGGCAGGTGTCTATAGTCCCAGCTTCTTGAGAGGCTCAGGCAGGAGAATCCCTTAAGCCCAAGAGTTTGAGATTGCTGTGAGCTATAACACCATGGCACTCTACCAAGGGTGACATAATAAGACTGTCTCAAAAGAATAAAATAAAAGGCTCGGCGCCTGTGGCTCAAGTGGCTAAGGCACCAGCCACATACACCTAAGGTGGCGGGTTCAAATCCCCAGCCCGGGCCTGCCAAACAACACTGTTGGCTGCAACCAAAAAATGGCTGGGCGTTGTGGCAGGCGCCTGTAGTTCCAGCTACTTGGGAGGCTGAGGCAGGAGACTCGCTTCAGCCCAGGAGTTGGAGGTTGCTGTGAGCTGTAACGCCATGGCACTCTACCCAGGGGGATAGCTTGAGGCTCCGTCTCAAAAAAAAAAAAAAAAGAATAAAATAAAATAAAATATCTGGCTTCCATAAGCACTAAAGCCATGTTTAAATACATGGCCTCATTGGCATTCTTTAACCAGTGAGCTAACTGTGTATTTAAGGTTCAGATTAAATATTCCTGCTCCTCCTCCTTCCACAGATATACCCAAGAGAGCTTTTTATTTGAAAACATACTCATTGATGGAACTTCCTTCTTCTACTAGATTACTTGAGAACAGCAATTCAAATCATGCTCATCTTCATCCCATAGGATCTACCTATAGTAATCTGACTAAGGTTTAGCTGGCTCATAGTAACCACCCAGTAACTGTTTGAATTACTCTCTGAGACCCTTTAAATCTGTTGATAAGGCCAGGTGCGGTAGCCCACGTCTGTAATTCCAGCACTGTGTAGGCAGAGGCAGATGGATAGGTGGTGCTCAGAGTTCAAAACCAGCCTGAGCAAGAGCAAGACCCTGTCTCTACTAAAAGTAGAAAAATTAGCTGAGCCTGGTATATATGCTTATAGTTCCAGCTACTCAGGAGGTGAAGATAGGGGTATCACTTGAACACAGGAGTTCAAGTGAGTGCCGTGGCCCTCTAGCCTGGGGAAATAGAGTGAGACTTGTCTCAAAAAATACATATAAATAAAAATGAAAAAGTCTATTGATAAGTATCTGTGTAAGGTCCTAAATATCTGAAATAGTAGAAGAACTACTTAGTTGGTGCATGTGCTTTTCTATATTTTATAGTTAACTTGTTTTTAGAATGACTTTGTTTGGACATTGATAAGGTAGAGAATAAGGTTTATTCTAGAAACGCTTGAGCACAAGAGTTTGAGGTTGCTGTGAGCTATGATGCCACAGCACTCTACCAAGTCTGACAGAGACTCAGAAAATTTTTTAAAAGATTGATTCTAGAAATTCTGCCAAAATTGAGTAGAAAAAATGAGCAAAGAGATGTCAACATCTATCAACTTTCTGTCTTGGTAAGAGAACTAATTCTAGCACATCCATTTGGACTAGCGTGGAACATAGTGTATAGAATTTTGAGTGGCAGTGGATAATTCGGTAAAATTTGCTGACATGCTTTTAAACAGTTAGGAGATATACTGCTTCAGACCAACCCCTGACTGAAGATGTTATATGTCAGCCCTAACATATTGGCAGGCACAATGAATCTGCACCTCTGGGCTATCAAATGGGCCAGTCATTCCTGATCTCTCTGACAATGAGCTCTTTCAGTTATGTTTTGGCTGCCCAGGAAGCATGATTGCTCCTTTCACAATTGGTGGTGATGGTTTTCTGCTTTCATCCATCTTTCTAGGTCTTCCTCTTCTAAATCCCAGTTGTCGGATAATAAGTGGTATATGCACAGCCTTCAGAACAGAAAGTGCCCATCTCAGGAGGAGCTCACTAAGATTGTTGATGTGAAGAAGCAAAAACTGGAAAAGTCTGAGCCACATGATTTAATGGTGCAGTCTTCTTGGGCAAGACAAGATCTAGGTAATATTTCACCTGCTCTAATGGAAAAAACATTTTTATTTTACTCTGAATCCTACATAAAGATATGCTGGTTAATCAACTTTTAGATGTGCTAATCTATCACAGATGCACATTCTAGAAAAAATAATGCATGTGTTAATCCAAGTTTACTTAGAAATTATTAGAACTGTTAATCTATCGATATTTTAACAAATGATTTAACTAACAATTTTGAGGATATGAGAGTCTTGATGTGCTCTAAATATTTTAATTCAGCTATCAGACAGGAGTCCTAAGGGCACAAAATGAAGTTTAAGCCTGTCCTCTTTTTTTTTTGTAGAGACAGAGTCTTACTTTTTCGCCCTTGGTAGAGTGCTTTGGTGTCACACAGCTTACAGCAACCTCCAACTCCTGGGCTTAAGCAATTCTCTTGCCTCAGCGCCGCCACCGTTCTCCCCCACCCCTCCCAGTAGCTGGGACTACAGGCTCCCACCACAATGCCCGGCTATTTTTTTGTTGTAGTTTGGCCAGCCCCGAGTTCAAACCTGCCACCCTTGGTACATGGGGCTGGCACCCCACCCACTGAGGCACAGGTGCCACCCAAGCCTGTCCTTTATTGAAAAATCCTGATACATGGCTTGGCTCCTGTAGCTCAGTGGCTAAGAGTGCCAGCCACATACACTGGAGCTAGCAGGTTCGAATCCACCCAGAGCTACCAAACAATGACAACTGCAACCAAAAAATAGCTGGGCATTGTGGCAGGTGCCTATAGTCCCATCTAACTTGGAAGGCTGAGGCAAGAGACTTGCTTAAGCCTAAGAGTTGGAGGTTGCTGTGAGCTGTGATGCCACAGCACTCTACCAAGGGTGACAAAATAACACTTTGTCTCAAAAAAAATAATCCTGAAGCAAGCTCTTTTCTTATGAATTAATGAAAATAAATTATTGTTTGTATGCTTTAAAAATTACTTTTCATGAAATGAACAGTACATTTTATGACTTACAAATCAAAGTTTTAATCTGTAAAGAAAGTTCTTTTTCGTTTTTTTGAGACAGAGTCTCACTGTGTTGCCCTTGGTAGAGTGCCTTTGCATCACAGCTCACAGCAACCTCAAACTCTTGGGCTTAAGTGAGTCTCTTGTCTCAGCCTCCCGAGTAGCTGGGACTACAGGTGCCTGCCAAACAACATCTGGCTAATTTTTGGTTGCAGTTGTCATTATTGTTTAGCAGGCCCAGTCCAGGCTCTAACCCACCAGCCTTGGTATAGGTGGCTGGCGCCCTACAATGCATTACATATGACAGTCATGAGCTATGGGCAGCTGAGCCAATGTAAAGACAGTTTTTTGTTTGTCTGTTTGTTTTAATTGATACAGAGTCTCACTTTGTTGCCCTGGGTAGAGTGTTGTAGTATAGTGGGTCACAGCAACCTCAAGCTCCTGGGCTTAAGCAATTCTCTTGCCTCAGCCTCCCAAGTACGTGGGGCTACAGGCGCCCGCCACAACACTGGCTAGTTTGTTTTTTTTTGGATACAGAGCCTCAAGCTGTCCCCCTGGGTAGAGTGCCATGGCTTCACTGCTCACAGCAACCTCTAACTCCTGGGCTCAGCGAGTCTCCT